TGTAGAGACAGTGAGTGCCAGACAGACTACAGTACTGATAATCCAGCAGACCGAGACAGTAGTAAAATAGATGCACATTTTCTGATTATAAGGAAACCACTTGACAGAGATTGTTGTAATTTAAGAGTGTATGAGAGTTCATTTCAGTTCAGTGAACTTTTACTGACCTGATGGTGGAGAAGTGTTATGGGGGAGGGCGGGGGGAAAGTTGCTGATCAGTCCTTACCAGACTAAAGAACAGCAAAATAGGAAGTTTAGCTCTTAAATTTCAGTTCCAGAAAGAATAAACGGCCAAGCAGTTAGTGACCACGTGGCACATGCTTAGAATCCCAGCACGTGGTAGACTGAGGCAGGAGAACTGAAAGTTAAGACTTTCTGGGCAATTCAGTGAGACTGTCTCAAAATAAAAAACAGAAATGGGCTGGGGATGTAGCTCGCTTGGTAGAGTGCTCCTGGTTCAATCCCGAGTACCAAAACAAAAAAACCACTCCATACAAGAGAGAAAGTAACCTTATGTCTTATAATTTTACCTTTTATTTTCCAAAGAGCAGTTTTTGTAGCTATCCTGATTGATGTGTGTTGGATGTTCTTTTGTTATCTTAAACATCAACCCCAAGCTCATGGGCTTTCCTTATATGGCTCTCCTCTCCAGGATTTGGCACAGGAATGATTTTTAATGTTGAGCATTTTTGTTTTCTGCCGGGCCTCTTCTCACAGCAATACGAGCCTTTCACCTGGCTTTTTATTTTATTTTAGGAATGGCCTTGTTGTAAGATTTTCTTTCAAATGTTGGTTAGTTTCTGCCTCGCTGCAAATGACTTCCGTGTCTGTGAACTCAGAAAAAAAGAAGACATCAGCATAAATTAAAATAGAAACAATTTCATGTGGGTTTAGAAACAAAATTATTATAAAAAATATTAGAGATCAGAGCCAAGCTGCCCCATCCTCTACCCGTGTAAGCATTTGAAGACCAGAAAGGATGAATGGCCTGCTGAAGTTACAAAATATTGGTGAGAATTCATCATTCTCACTCTTGTCTTCTTTTTTTTTTCCCTTTTTGAGGTAGGGTTTCACTATGCTGTTCAGGCTGGCCTTGAACTCATTTTGTAGCCCAGGCAGTGAACCTCCTGCCTCAGCCTCCCAGAGTGCTGGGATTACAGTCGTGTGCCACCACACCCGGCCCACATTCTCACTGTTTTCATGAAGACAGCATATACTAGAGAGCTCTAATTTTAACATAATCTATTCATAAGGAAAGGAAAAATGCCAAAATATCCTAGTTATCTTTGAGAAGCGAGAATGTACTACAAATGTTTGCCTCTGCACTTCTGAATTTGTAAATGTGCACTTAATGCACATGGCCAAGGCCGTGAGCACTAGAGTAGATCTGGACATGAATCTGACCTCTACCACTAGCTAAACTGTGACTGTGTGACTTTTGGGAAGGCTTGTTAACCTTTTGAACTTCAGTTTCTTATTCTGGATAATAGAAGTAGTAATACATCTTCTGAGTCACTTGTAAAGGGGTTAGCTTTAAGGTTCTTACATTTAATGTTTGGCCTGTGAGGATTACTTCCGATTGTATTTGTTTTGTTTTTTTGAGCCAGGGTCTCACTGTGTAGTTCAGGCTGGCCTCAAACTCACTACATAGCCCAGGCCCTAGTGCTGGGATTACAGGCATCACCACCATACCCAGCTAGGATCACTTCATATCGTAGCCACTATCACTACTACTTACTGTAGTAGGACACTGGACTCTGAGTAGGGTTGTCAGCATTGGATGGTTTAAACAATCCTCTGTTTAACCACTTACCAGTCCAATTATTTAAATATAGGTTGACCAAAACTTGCATAGTTTTGCATTAATTTTATTAGATAATATTACAGGAAATATAAAAATGATAATTTTATCAGATTTATTCAATAATTTTTCTGAGAATGGCATGTCTTAAAACATTCAATATACAATGCAGTGTTACAATCTGGACAGTAGTATCTAGTCTCTTTCCAAGTTCTTTTTGCATTATTGAATTTGGAGAGCTTGTTACAAACCACCATTTTATTTATTTGCTTTTTTGTTTTAAGACAGGGTGTCACTCGGCAGACCTGCCTTGAACTTGCTATGTAGCCCAGGCTGGCCTTGAACTCGTGGCAGTCTCCTATCTCAACCTCCTGAGTGCTGGGGTTACAGGTGTGCAACACCATGCTTGGCACCACCATTTTATTTGTAACTTCTGCTTTAACACAAGCAGTCTCTTTAGTAGCAGTCCCATTAGCCTTCCTTGTAATCTGGAGCTTTCAAAGTAAGTTTCAGCTATGCCACAGATGTGTTTATGCCCTGGAAAATTTCAGTAAATATCCTCTAATAGTTAACATTTGTATGTACAGTTTCTTTGATGCAGTACCCAAGAAAGGGGGGGTTTGTTTGTTTGTTTTTTGGCTTGTTTTTGTTTTTGTTTAGAGACAGCATCTCACTATATAGTTCAGGCTGGCCTTGAACTTACTACTTAGCTCAGCCTGGCTTCAAAGTCACTGCAATTCTCCTGCCTCACCCTCCTGAGTGCTGAAGAAAAGTCATTTTAAAATGTAAATATACTGTTGCTACCCTACCTAGAAATGGCATAGAGTGGAAACTCAGGGCCTTATACCTTTTTATTTTAAACTCTTGAATTTATTGTTTGGGATAGAACTAAATAGTTTCACCCATTTTAGGTACCTATTTTAGTTACACATTTTCAGTACTGAGTAACTGCCTCAGTAAGATGTATCTGAGAATTTTTCTATATTTGTAATGTTGCTGTTTGTGAGGATGTTGTGCTTTTTCAGTTGACGACTGAGGAAGCCTGTCATCATCATTAGTACTCATTCAGCATGAGCACCTGTTTCATCTAGGAACTAGAGATGCAAACATGAATAAAACATGATTCCTGTTCTGGAAAATTTCATAGATTGGGCCAGAAGATATTTAAAAACACAATTACATTTCAAAATGAAATGTTACATGTTCATAGATAATAAATATATAAACAAAGTGTTACTGTGATATAAAGAAAGAGACAATGAATTTGGAGGTATGCGATAAGTTGCCAAAGAGGAAATGGCATTTGAACTAAGTTTTGAAGGTTGGGTGGGAATTTGCTATCTATTGAGGAGCAAGGAATAGGGCATACAGGACAGGAACAGCCTATGCAGAGACCAAAAGTCACAGGGGCTTGCGAGGTGAGGGCTGTGTCTTCAAAGTAGCTGCAGAAAACGGCTACATGAGAGAAAATTGAATTGAAATTCATTTTAGTTTTATCCTTTTTCCAGTGATGAATCATTGAAGATTTTTAAATTAGGGTTGACATAATCAGATTTGAGTTTGAAAACTTGTAGTAGCTTGGGGCCAGAGAAAGACAAATGGCAGACACCAGTCTATATTTGCTATATTTTCCAAGCAAAAGACAAGGATTTCATACTGACAACAGCTGGGTAAGGTAAGAGATACGTCACTAGATTTGAGAGTGTTTCCCAATGTGTAAACAATTAAGTTTTGTGACTAATATGGTATCACGCAGGTGGAAGTGGGGTTTGTGATGCCTGGCTTAGGTGACTGAATGCATTAACTGGAATTAACAAAATTGAGGGAACTATAAAAAGAAAAGCAGCATTGTTTGGTTTTTGTCCAGGGATTGGGACAAGACTTTTCATTTTGTGTAAGTTAGGTTGAGACTTATCAGGAATATTCTAGTAAGCAAGGCTGGATATGAATCTTGGGAGAAAAGTAACTGTAGTAATATTTTTTTAGTTCCCAGTGTTTATTTTTCCATGAAAAACTGAGGTTCTCAGGGATTAACTGACTATGGTCCTCAGAAGGTAGCTGTAGAACCAAAATAAATTCCTAAGCTTACCAACTGAAATGGCCTTTTGAAAGAAAAAAACAAATCTCTTGGTTTCTACTAAAATCATTTTACTGTTCCATTTCCTATAGTATCTTTGCTTTAAAAAAACAAAACTAGTATATAAAAAAAAAAATCATCTATTTCCTGCACTGTGTTTACTGGAGTCTTAGTTATTTGGCTGACAAATGAAGAGTGTTTAAGGTTATAGCTAAGGAGCCCCAAACGTCTTTCTTTCTTGTTGCAAAAGCAAAATTTAAGATTAAGTCTTCTGTAATACTCATTATTTCATATATGCTTGATTTAATCTTAATTGTTGCCCTGCTTAAATATGAGGGAGACTATAACTGTTAAAGAATGAAAATATGGTGTCTACTTCTTTGTAGAAATGGAAAAACAGCAGTCCCCACTCCACTGCCCCTCCAAGTTTGCATTTTGGGCTAAAGTCCTTTATGAAATTCAGAGGATAAATGTTCTTTAAAATCTGCCTCACACCCAAATTTCAGGCATCAACTGAAAGATATAGGTGATTGTGAAGGCCTTCGGTAGGCTTGTAATAACATAGCTAAATTCTCTTTTCATATCTTTTAAAATAAAAAAATACATAAAAATACACCTTTTCCACATGAAATTCTAGTTTTCACTGTTACTGTGTGGATTCTCAGGGTGATTCCTTGGGTGGTCATATATTTTCTTTTACTTGCTTCTTGATTACTTTGAAGTGTAGTTGCCTGCTGCTTAAGGCAGCTGAAGTAGAGTGCACCCAGAAGTTGTTATATTGCTATATTTAGAAAACCATAGGGTTTGTAAAGCAGTTGCACATTCCTTTGGATAAAATGGTTTCTATAAATGTAACATTTTTATTGTCACCCATTAGAGAAATAGAGCAGCTAATATGTGTGGGTTTGTGGACATGACAGACTCAGAAAACTTTTTTACTTGAGCTCACTCTAAGGCGAGGGATAGAGAAAGTGGTAGCTTACTTGCTTAGCATGTGCAAAGCCCTGGATTCCATCCCTAGTGCCATTAAAAAAAAAAAAAAATGAAAGCTCACCAAGTATTTTAAATACTTAAAATTAATCATGTGAGTCCTGTTTTGATACTCTTACTCTTCAATTACAGAGCTTTTACTCAGGTGTTTACCTTTGGTCCCACATTCCGAGCTGAGAATTCTCAAAGCCGGAGACACCTGGCAGAGTTTTATATGGTAGAAGCAGAGATTTCTTTTGTTGAGAACCTTCAAGATCTCATGCAGGTAAGTACACAGTGTTCAAATTTCATTTATCTGTGACATTAAAATGCTTCTGTGTATATTTTTACTCCAGGCATTGTGCATTACAAGTATTCTTCGGATGAAGGTGGATAATGATTTGTAAATATTTACTGAGTGCCTTTGGTGTAATAGTTGAACATATGAGTCAGATTTAAGTTTAACCCCAGCTCTCCTGTTAGCTTTGCTTTGCAGTTGCTTAACTTTCATGATCTTCTCTTCCTCTACTGCACAAGGAGAATGCTTGAACATATTTTATCAGGTTATTATAAGGAGTAAATGAAATAATGTATATTATATAAAAACCCTAGCATAAGGAATATCAGCAGGCTTAGTAATTACTAACCCTTAATTTTATTAGGTAAATAAAACACTATAAATTTCTGTAATACTTACATAAACATCTATAAAGCTATTTTAGAAAGCATCCACAGGAGCTGTCATGGTTCATTTTGGGGAATAAGACGTAAAGCTAGAGAGACAGCAATCAGATTATTAAGTAGCAACTAAAGGCCATGTTAAGGAGTTTAAGCTTTATTAAAAAAAAGAACAAACTTTATCCAAAAGGTATAAGACAAAAAATTTTAAGTTGGAAGAAGCACTGTCAGAGCTATATAGATTTTTTGTTATGTAAACTTTTTAAAAAAAATTATTTTGTGTGATCTAGCCAGTTGTGTCCTAACATTATTTTAAATTTTTATTTTATTTTTTGTAGTACATAATGATTCAGTTCATCATGGGAGCTGGTGTATGTACTTAAAACATCTTAATTCCATTTTATCCCTTCCCCCTTACACCCTTATTCCCCATCTGTTGACCCCTTCCCTTTTGAAAAAGGGAAGTCTCCCCATTTCCTATTATCTCTTTTCTTTTGCTATTTTATTTATTTATATTCTAGGTTTCTCAGAGAAACTCAGTATTCAAGCTTGTGTATCTGATTTAATTCGCTTGACATTCTTCAAGAGTTTTACCTATTTTATCTTCCAGCAGACTAAGGTTTCTGTTTTAATATTTAGATCATTTGTCCATTTTGATATTAATTTAGTGTATGGTAAGAGATATGTATCTAGATTCAGTCTTCTGCATGTAGATAGCCAATTCTCCCAGCATCATTTCTTGAACAGGCTTTCTTTCCTCTAGTGTATGTTTTTCTCCCCTTTGCCAAAGATCAGATGGGTGAATGGGCCTGTGGTTGTTTCTGAATCTTCTGTTCTGTTCCATTGATCCACATATATGTTTTTGTGCCAGTACCATGCTGGTTCTTTTTATTTGTTTTGGTTTGATTTTTGTTTTGTTTGTTATCACTGTAGCTTTGAAGCAAAACTTGAAATCTGGGGTTGTGATAACTCCTCCTTTGCTCTTATTCCTAAAATTACCTTTGTGATTCTGGAGTCTCTTCATGTTCCAGATGAATTTGGGGATTATTTTCTCTAGTTCTGTGAGGAATACTGTTGGGATCTTGATTGGATTTGAATTAAATCTGTATATCAGTTTTGGAAGTATGACAGTTTTGACAGTATTGGTTCTGCCTACCCAAGAGTAAAGGATAACTTTCCAGTTCAGAAATTTTTGATATCCTTTTTCAGAGCACTGTAGTTTTCATTAGCGGTCTTTTACTTCCTTTGTTAAGTCCTAAGTATTTAATTTTTCTTGCAGCTATTGTGCATGATATTTTATTCCTTCTTTTGTCAGTGGGTTTAATTTTGGTGTATAGGGAGGCTGTTGATTTTGTATACTGCTCCCTGGCTAAATTTGTTTATTAGTTCTTGGAGTCTTCTGGTGGAATTTTTTGGGTGGAATACATAGATGTAAAAGATCACGTCATCTGTGAATAAGGATAGTTTGACTTCTTCCTTTCCTATGTATTTCTCAAGAGAAATAAATAAAAGATACTTGTAGGAAAGGAAGAAGACAAACTAGTTATTCACAGATGACAAGTTTTGAATACTACATTGAGCCAAGGATATAGCTCAGTGGCACAAGCACCTGCCTGGCAAGTGCAAGGTCCTGAGTTCGATTCCTGGTACCAAAAAAAAATAGCTTTTTATTTTAAAGAGAGAAAGGAAAAAAACAATAGAAATAATACAGAATTTCAAAACAAAATAGGAAATTAACAATGGTTATTATATTACATAGTGTTATTTTCAAAGTAGTTGCTCAGCTGGTAGATTTTTTTTATTTACTGCCTCAATTTCCTTGCCTGTCTTTGGATTATTCAGGGTTTTTAGATCTTGTTTGTTCCATTTTGGTAATTCATATGTATCTAGGAATCTATCCATTTCTTCTACATTCCATTATTTATTGGAGTCTAGGTTTTTGAAGTACTTAGTGATAATCTTCTGGGTTTTGGCAGTGTCCGATATGATTCTGCCTTTTTCATTTCTAATTACATTGATTTGGGGGTTTTTTCCCCCTTTTTTGTGTTTTTTTTTGTTTATTTCTGTTTTTTTATGTGGAGTCTCACTATGTAGTTCAGGCAGGCCTTGAACTCAGTAATCTTTATTTCAATAATTTCTGCTCTGATCTTTCAGTCTTTGAATTTGGATTGTTCTTGTTTTCTAGAACCTACAGGTGCATCATTAGGGTATGTGAGCTCATTCTGTTTTACAGATGTGGGCATTCGCATCAGCAAACTTCTCTTTTAGAACTGCATTCATCATGTCCCATAGGTTCTGGTTTGTGGTCCTGCCAGTATGGTTTGCTTATATAAACAGTCTCATTTCTTCCTTGATTTCTTCTGTGACACACTGATTATTCAGGAGTGTATTGTTTAATCTCCATGTTTGCGTAAGTACTGCGGTTTCTGTTGCCATTAATTTCTAGTTTCATTGCACTGTGTTATAATAATTTCAGTTCTTTTGTGTTTATTTAAGAATGCTTTATGAGCTAGGATGTGATCTATTTTGGAGAAAGTCCCATGTGTTACTAAGAAAATATATTGTTGTTGGGTGGAATAGTAGATATCAATTATATCCATTTGTTTGAAGGATTTTTTTGTCTAGTCGATCTGTTTGTAATACAGATATTGAGATCCTCTACTGTACTTGTGTTGATATTTATCTGATCTGTTATGTCCAGTAGTGTTGGTTTTATGAAGCAGGGTACACTATGTTCTGTGCATATGTATTTATAATTGTTATCTTTTCCTATTGAATTATTCCCTTAATGAACATGTAGTGACCTTCTTTCCCTCTTCTGATTAGTTTGAAAATGGGATAGCTATTCCTGTTTATTTTCAGCCTTCCAATGTATGAAATGTTGTTTTTCATCCTTTGATTTTTAGCTTATGAACTTCTTTTTGAGTTAAATGTGTTTCTTGTATACAGCATACTGTTGGGTTTTATTTTTTGGCAGTCTGCGAATCTGTGTCTCATAACTGATGAGTTGAGTCCATTCATATCAAGAATTATTGAAATGTGTTGACTCGTGCCATTGTGTTATTTTCCTCATAATGACAACCCTACACACACACACACACACACACACACACACACACACACACTTTCTGCTTAACTACTCACCCTGCCTGAAGTATTCATCCCACCAGACTTTTTGGCATTGTTGGTTTCATTGTCTCTTTCTAGGATATCCTTGAGAATTTTTCAGTACTGGTTTGGTGGTTATGAATTTCTTAAGGTGCTCTTTGTCATGCAAAGACCTTTATTTCTCCATCAATTTTGAAAGATAGTTTTCTAGGATATGTTAGTTCAGATTTGAAGCTGTTTTCTTTTGGGGCTAAAACACTCCAAGCTGTCCTGGCTTTTAAGGTTTACATTGAGAAGTCTGCTGTAATTTTAATAGCTTTACCTTTAAAATAATTTGTTGCTTTGAGGATTCTGGCCTTGTCTGGGATTTTGACTATGATATGTCATGGAGTTCTTTTCTGATTATGGCTATTTGGGGTTCTGTATTGCCTCACATATCTGTATGTTAAATTCTTTTCCCATACTTGGAAAGTTTTCTGCTGTTATTTCTGTGAACAGATTTTTATGCCGTTTATGCTTTTAATTTTTCACCAATTCTAATTAATCTTAGATGTATTATTGGTGTCATCTAGCAGCTTGGGGTCCATTTTTCATGTTTTCTTAATGTTTTTAATATATCTCTGAGTTTATGGTCACCTGCATTAGCCTTGTCTTCTGGTTCTAACACCCTGTCCTCACATTGGTTACTTCTGCTGCCCATACTTTCAGTAGAATTTTTTGCCTCTTAGAATTCTGTGTAACACCTCTTCATAGACTCTAATTCTTTGCTAAACTGGTCATTGATGCTTTGTATTGTTTTACTTAATTCAGCTAGCTTTGTATTAGTATCTTATGTAAGTTCACTGATGATTTTGTTTAGTAAGTCCATTATCTGTTTAGTTATATTATCTTTGAGCTTGCCAAGTATCTTATTGATCTGTTTTTGTCTTTTAATCTTCTGTTTTATCATTTTTCATAATTCACTGTTTGACTTTTGATGTCCTGCACATTATTGCCTCATGGCTCAGCTTTGAGGGAGTTGGGAAATTTTGGAGGCATATTGTTGCCTTATTATCTCATGTTACTATTGGAGTTTTCTGAGGGTTTTTTTTTGTGTGTGTGTGTGTGTGTGTACTGAGGCTTACAATTTTATTACAGTGGAAAGATTTTGTTTCTAGTATAGAGATTTCTTTAGTGTCTACTTGCCAGTGATATACTCTGGGCATGGCATGGCATGGCATGGCTAATTATATGCCTTGCCCCTGCCCCAAGATCCAACCACCTCCATTAATTTTGGTGGATGAATGTAGTATAATTGGCCCAGCACCCAGTTCTCCAGAAATGATCCATAATATCATTAATGACACAAAGACAAAAGAAATATTGGCATACAGTAAAAACCAATTAATATCAACAGTTATGCCACCCTGTCAATAGCAATGAAATCAGTAATAGTAACAAAGTCAAAGACAAGCTGGCTATATACATACCATAAGAGCCAATAAAAGCTACATTGTACCA